CATACGATCAATGTCATAACATTGGTCATGACATTCAACTTCACTTAAACTTGCTTTCCAGCTTGCCTTGCTGAACACTTATGCAAAATTTTCTTCATGACAGTAGAAACAAATGTTTTATATATCCCTAAAAATTATCAAGATCCTTTTTATGAACACTAATTAAACCTGCAATTTGTTTCTAATAACACTCTTTGGCCTTCACATACTGATGAGGAATATCCAACAGGACCAAAACACTTATGTCAAGAGATATAACATAGCAGCCCCTGTTGTACCAGACATTGATGTCATGACACTCAGTATGACATCAGCTCCTGTTGCACCAGTAGCGATGTCATGACATTAGTAATGACATCCATGACAACAACTCTGTCATCAGCTCCTGCTAGCTCCTTCTGCATCCATGACAGCAGTTCTGTCATCAGCACTGCTGTTTGTAACACTTGACAGTAGTTCTGTCATGACAGCAGAGGATGTCGTGATGGATGTCACGACATTCAGCATGACATTCACATTAAAACACTCCACAGCAGATGGAGATGTTATAACATCCTGCTTAACATCAGTGCAGGATCATGTTTTACCAAAATTTTTCCAATCATAGAACATGGACAATTCTATATCATAGAATCATGGAACTAACAATGATGTCCATATGTCTTATAAATCCTTAGCTTGGCCCTTAATGTGAGGAAGCTCTTGACTACAATGGATTAATGATGGCACTTAGAGAGATATGATCAAGATCTTGTGAACTCATCCTTTGCTTCAACTTGAATGAGACAACTCCCTAGCACATAGAAATCTTGCTCCAAAGAACTTATTGATTCCATGCCTTAAGAAACCATAAGAATGCATGATTGTGAATGTCATAACCTAGTGGAGAATGCATATGAATGCAAAGCATAAGCCAATTATGTTCGGAAATAATGAGGGTAAATTTTTGATGTGCAACACATATTTAAACGAGGACCCTTACATTGCAAATTATAGACTTATCCACTGAACCACTATGTATATCAATTAACCAATCTGCAAACCTGTATATGTTGTTCGGGAAGATAAATATGTCCTTGCTACTCGCATCAACTAAGAATTTCATATCCATTCTCTTTATTTGAGCCAGCTAAATTTTCCAATATTTGAATTTGTAATTAATCATATTTAATCTTCTATAGAAATATATAATAGGATATAAACTTACGTTGAGTTTTTCTTCCATTACCTTTTGCAAGTCTGTTTTTGTGTAATTCTTTAATTATTTTATTATTTAAATGTTTGTTTTTATTTTACTATCTTTTTTTAGTGTTTTTGTTTTATATTGTCGAACTTTTTCATTTTCTCTATTAGTTAATTATTGCTTTTATTTTAGGTACATGTGGAAAGTATAAAAAAATCATAAGAACTTTTATGAGTTGATTAATAGAGTTTTGTTTCGAAAATTTTAAACGAATAAAAGACCAAGTTTTACCATTTTGTAATTATCTATTCCATCACTATAGACAATATTATGTTATTATATACAAATGCATACCACAAAATTAAGTTATTATAGACAAATACATATTATAAAATTTAGTATACAAATAATAATTTAAATTAAGTGCAAAATTAAATGAAAAAAATATGTTTAAGTTCTGACGCATGTGCACGTTAAAGAAAGCGGACAAACGGGTACGTGAGTGCTCGTTTGGACGCTAGTGAGTATAAAAATAATTTAGTTGTGAATCGGAAAAAAAATCTAAAAAACATGTAAAATGGAATTTGCTTGAAAATATTTAAAACGTAAAAAAAAAATTCAGAATGCTACTTTTAAACCTTCCATCGTGCTAAAAACGTATCGCTCATCACTGCCGCTCACAACCGTTGTTCGCCGCTAGCTTCTCACAACTGACATTCACCGCAAGTTTCTCACAACCGTCGTCAGCCCCCAGCCTCTCACAGTTGCCGTCATCCGCTCACAACATTGTCCCCTGATTTCTGTTTGCATTAAGGTTAGATTATGTTTCTTTATCTCTCAATCATTGAGCTCTATCTTGTAAAACCATCATACAAATCCTACCTTCTCTACCCCTTTCTCAATCGAAACAGTACAGAGATTTAGGTATTTAGGATTCAAAAGGTAAATGGGTTTACTATTCAATTACTATGATAGTTCAATAATTACTGTAACAATTTGATAGTTCAATTAGAGGTTTGATTTAGGTATTTAGGGTTCAAACCATTAATCTCTCTCGATTTTGGTGATCCCTAGTAAAGCTCCTGCTGCACCATGTGTGTTGTTTTGCTAGTGTTGTTGTCGCTTTGTCAGTAGGGCTGCTAGTTTTTTAGCTTGCTCTGCGTGATTGTGGCTTAGGAATTATTTTCCTTTCTGTTGCTTTTATTTTAGATTTGGTTGCTTGTTTGTATATTTGTGGCTTTGTAGTTGTTAGCTCTTAAGATCTCACAAACGATACTATTAACAGAATTAGGTATTTGGGCTTTGCTTGAGTAGCAAGCAAGCACAAATTTATAAATAAGGAGTAACACTATTATGATTGTAACCTTGAAGTGAGTAATTGTAGTTTGCAAAGTTTTGAGAGTAGAGAGAAAATCTACAAAATTCACAACTCTTCTTCCTCCCTTTCATGTTGAAACCCTAATTCCCTTTCTTCCAATTCAGTTTTCTTTTCTTCTTTCATTATAATTATGCAGCGATACAGTGTTACAATCAAGGTTGGTTGATTCACTTGAATGAAGAGTGAAGAACAAGAAAAAATTCGATCAGTGTGATTGAATCTTATTCATTAAGATTTGGTTCGGAATTCATCAAGTTGTAGTGAAATTCTTGAACGAAATTTGTTTTAATTCCAACATAGATTATAAAAATGATAATAACTTGACAATATTATGAACCTCATTTTTATAATGAGTCAACCCTATAGTAATAATAATAAATAAAATAAATATTAATTAGATTTAGTTAGTTTCGATTTTGAAGGGTTCAAAATGATCATTCAACTTCGACTGAAATAATTTTATACTATCTAAATTAAGCAATTAAATTAACTCAACATTCGATCCAATTTATTTATTAAAAATAATAATAAATTAGTCGGTTCCAATCAAACGGTTCAAACTTACGCACCCCTAATACGTATATTTAAATCAAATGGCCTAAACGATATTGAGGTCTTACTATCTAGGTCATCATACAAGTATGTGATATTGTTACTTTTATGTCATCTTAATCCCCATATAGTCTTGTATAAATCAAAAGAAAATAGGATATGCATTACTATTTTGCCAAATTAAATTATAATTTTTAAATTAATTATATAATATAATTGAATGATAAATTACTATTAGCCTACGATTTTTACACGGTGGATAAATTCATAAATCAATTATTCTTTTTTAACATTTACTTTGAAATCTATTTATAAAAAATAAAATAAAAAATCACTTTATACCTATTATTGAATAATTATTGTATATAAAATATAAACTTTATAGGAGCTTGAATAGTTTTAGATTAAATTGTTATGATGATGGTATAGATGAAAAATTGGTAGTTAAAAACTCACAACAAATACCCCATTTTCCCTTCTCGAATCTCAGTATAAACCCTTTAACCGTTTCACACAATTGAGATTCTTCACTCTTCTGAGGACAAAGACGCAACCTTTCTGGTATTGTTTTCGCTCAATCCATTTTCTTTTTATAGATAAGTTTGTGTTTATATGGTTAACGAAGATTGTACAAATTTTCATTTGATAGGCTCGCTGATTTAAGTGTTTTCTAGAAAGGGAAAAAGTGAATAAAAACCCTTGAATTTGAGAGTATTGGATGGTATAGAATTTTGGGTTTTGTTTGATCGAAAATTTACTCACCCTTTTTGCTAAACTGTTAATTTTCGGAATTGCTTGCTCTAGTGTAGAAATTACAAGTGATATTGGGGAATTGGGGAATCGGGGAAGCCTTTGATTTATGAGATCTTGGAAAAATCAGCAACTAGTTGTATTATAGGAATATGTAGCGCGATTTGGTTTTAATACAGAAGTAAAACATTGATTATTCACATGTTGGTTTGAGTTATGAGACTGCAATTGAAGGACAATACTGGAGAATAATCACTTCTGCATTTTCTCATATAAGTATAATTCATCTTGTTTTCAATATGAGTGCTCTATGGAGTCTTGGTGTGGTAGAGCAATTGGATCATGTTGGTCTTGGTGTTGAGTATTATTTGCAGTATACACTTGTGTTGGTTGTTGTATCAGGAATGTTGGTTCTGGCAATGTATCATTTGTTGATTCAAAGAATTAAGGTTGAGTATTTATGACAAGTGTTTCGAAAAAATTATCGGGTGAGCTATGAAACAAAGGCACCTCTAGAATTAAATGATGTATGACACTTATACAACACATGTTGAATAATTAAGACAAGTGTTTCGAAATAGTTGTTCTTTCTTTTGTTTCAACATTCCTTAGATGGGTGTCCTTATAACGCTCAGATGCAAGTGTTGGACAACTTAGAAAAGTTCCCTACAAAAAGAATCCTTTGCTTCGAAACACCTTATACACTCTTTGGACACATCTCAGGTACTACTAAAAGGGTTAAAGATGTGTTGAAACAATGTTTAGTTTTTTTTCTAAGATATTAAATTTGATCAACTAGGAGTTTAAGACATTAAACTTGATTACAACATTTTTTTTTTTATAATAGACATATAGATAAATGCTCATTTTAAAGTGTTTGAGACTGTATCCGTGTTGAAATCTGTGCTTCATAATTGTCGAGACTTCTATAACTGTTATATTGCATCCGTAATTGTGTTTGGCGGACCAAGTTCCTTACATTATTTTTATTTTTGAACAGTCCTATACTATAGGGATAATACGCAGCTCTAGTTAACAATATCCTTTGTTATATTTTATGGGAATTCATGTCTGTAATTGTTTATGTTGTTTACTTATTTAGTTTTGTTGCAGGAGAGGCGTTTTTTGTTGCTAGAGATGAAAATGTATGTCACTACCATTCTTGTCAAAGTTGTTGTGCAAATGCTTCAAATGAATCTCTCTTTCTTTCTCTAATGAGACATTATTCATGTTTTTTATTATCTTTTCATAGCTTGGAGGCCAATGTTTCTGCACTTACAAATTTTGAGGTCCTTGATTTCATACGAGCTAAAGGAGCTTCGAAAGATCCAACACGGGTTATTGCCAAAGTAGCAATGTCCGAATACAAGGTTTGTTTTTCTGCTAAGACAATTGGTCATAGATAACCCTTTTTTATTGGTGATTATATTTGTCGCCAATATAGTAATGCTTTTTAAGCTTTTTGTTATTACAGGTTTATGATTATTTAGTTAATACTGCAGCTGGTAGTCAAACAAGAGAGAGCGTCAAAGAGTATTTGACAAGTATTAAAAAGCATGAGCTGTCACAGGCTGAGGTTCTGAATGTATTAAACATCAGACCAGCTGCTGAAGTTGAATTGTTTCATGTAAGTATCATAACTATGTTCTTCTCATTTATTTTAAGCCTAGTCATCAGTGTGATGTGTCGTTTTGATGATAATTGTATTGTATGTGAAGAATCTTCCTTGCCGATTTCTTGCGCTCTAGTTCTAGGTAAAGTCTTGATCTATATGACTAACAATTTGAATTTGAATGTTATGTTTGTATCTTTGCATAATTGTGATCAGTTTGTTAAATTTTAATTATTTTGCAGATCATAGAGGATTGTACGGTCCGTTTTCCAGATGAAGAGATAGCAGAAATAGTAGAATTGGTAGAAAAAACATTGCCATCACCATCTAACAAAGAGTCATCAAAAGAAATCTCTGAGGGTGAAGAAGAAACTGAAACACAGAAACATGAAAGCAGTAATGAGATTAGTCAAGATCAAACTGAAGATGGAGAGCAAATGGACACAAGTTGAGGTTTAATCTTAACTTCAATAGTTTATGACTAGCACTAGAGGATCTCATGAAGGTTGTTAGGTAAAAAAATTTGAGTTTGTGAACATGGTTTTTATATGAACCGAGAGTAAGCCCTGAGGTTGTGTTACTCTTACAAGAAACTTTAGATATTCAAATGCTGGCTTTGCTTACTCTATATAAAAAGCTTCTCAGAAATTCTTAGTTTATTCTTCTAATGATTGCTTTGTTTCCACCTTATGATCTGGTGATGTTAATTCCAATTTTTCCTTGCTTCCAAAAGTCACATGAAACTTCAGATGGAAGTAAGGGATTCTACTACAAAAATAATAAATCACAATTGAGCTTTTTCTTTTTCCAAGCAAACTGACATCCTCCAATCTGTTAGGGTTTTTTTTTTTTTTTTTTTTTTTTTTTTTTTTTTTTTTTTTTTTTTTTTTTTTTTTATATACAAAGGATATTTTAAAACAAGTGGAATGAAATGAAATGGAGGAGAGTAAAGAGCATAATGAAATGAATTTTTTTATTCGATTGTTTTGATATTTTATGATTAAAAAGAACATTGTGATATATGTTGTCGTGTGTTTATGACGTAATCAACTAAACTTTTATTATTATTATTATTTATCCAATTAACCCAATTATTTTTTAAAAAACTTTTAAAATACTCCACTTTTCAAATATTTTCAAAGTATCCCAGTTAGGGTTTCTGAGTATCCAAGGGCGACATTCCAATTGACGATCCTTTGTTAAAGGCATAAGGGTGTCTCCAATTGCATTGGAGACACCTCATGCAATCTCCAATCCAATTGGCGCCTGTGTTATCCAATTGGTGAGATCAACATATTATAGGTTGGCATCACTTTTCGCAACAAGAGGCGAAAGATTGAGTGTGGTGTTAACGTCGGGTCAAGTATTCAATGAGAGCATAATGAAATTGATGAAAAAGAATACTATCAGAGTCAGCACACATGCAGTTACATTCTTTGACCGTCATAGGCAAACATTCAGTGTACAAGAAACAATGGACCATAATGAGGGGAGACCCAATTTATCCTATGCTGTCAGACTAAACATATGTTGGTGTGACTGTGGCAAGTACCATGCCTTCCGTGTACCTTGCTCACATGCCTTTGCAGTATGCGCACATTCTCGTCAGGATGCTTATGGCTATCTATCTGATGTTTACAAGACGATTAATATTATGAACGTATACAACGAAGGCTTCGCAGTGCTACCAATGGAAGATTATTGGCCTCCATACCAAGGTGACATAGTTTGGAACAACGATGAGATGAGAAGAAAGAAAAAGGGACGCCCAAACAGCAAGCGTATAAGAACCGAAATGGATATCACTGATAAAATGATAAGATTGTGCAGTATATGTCGTCAGCCCAGACACAACCGAAATAATTGTCCCAACGTTGGAGGATCATCTGCATCATGATTTAGCTTATCGTTTCATTTGTTGTTGTAACACCCTTTTCTACCCCACAATTAAAAGGCACATTTATTCACATATATCAGAGTAAAATATTTAACTCAATAAAAATCACCTCAAAGGGTGTACATTTCTCAATAGCTCAAAATAAGTCAATGCTCCGTGTACAACGGGTTTTCCCAAAAGATATCAAAAATTGCTCAAAGGCAGCGAAACTCAAAAGGCATATCCAAAGTTTTCCTTATATGGAAAGATAATCAAAATAACTCAAATAAAACATAGACCCCAACCTGATGTTACACTATCATAGCAAGACCCTCTAATTTAACCAAAGGCTAACAACTCGAAACTTCAAAAGTTCTCAACGGCGTCCACGGCTAAACCTGGTCATCTGCACGTTACCCACGTGGAGGTAACATTCAAACATGCAGGGTGAGTAAAATAACTCGTAATAATCAATGTATAAAAATCAACATATAAATGGCGTCATAATCATATTCAACACATTCATATCCTTCAATATGCCTCAAAGGCCACAACGTCATAATTCATACAAAAAGACTCAGAAGTGCAAAATACAACAATACTCAATGCATGTGGTACCAATCATCACAGCGCGATGGACACTGGGCCATCGACCCTCCATAGATCCCCATCAATAGGATCGTTTCTACTAGAGAACCGGAGCACATCAAAATACTTCACATCCACACAGTGGAATTGAAGCCAAAGTAATCGAGGTCCTGAACCGAAGTCCGGATGCACATGAATGCATAATGCACACGTCACAAATCATCATCATAATAACATCATAGGTGCATCATCATTCATCATCATCAAACGTCATAGCTCATCATATTCATCATCATCAAACGTTATAGCTCATCATCATAATCATCATCATGCGTCATGTCATCATAACTCATCATAATAATCATCATCATACATCATGTCATTACAATTCATCATAACAATCATCATCATACATCATATAAAATCATCATATAATTATTTACAAATCACGTAGCGCTCACAGTCATACTCATATTAATTCATCATATTATCACATATTATCACAGTTACCCTCATGGTAATTCATCAGAAAAATCACAGCATCAAAACATCAAGACATCACTGAACCAGAACATAATTCATTAATAGAACATATACACAATTGACTTATCAAACATAATTAAATATAAAAATATTGAGAAACCAATTCCCTTATCTATACTATGTTATAGCTCTATTCATTAGCTTTCCAACACTTCGAACGGGGGCCAAAACGGACTTACGAATCAAAAGTTACGTCCAAAATGATTTTAACCGAAAACATGAACAATCATGACGCACAGTTGTCGCTACTGTAAAAAAAGGAGGCCGACAATGACAGAAGAGTCGTGACCGTTCGTTATTTATCCCAAATGAGGGAAATGAAACAATCAGAGAAAACCTGACGAAAACGGGAGAAGGCAGGTCATCGCAACCATATCTCAGGTTCGAGAGTCGGTTACGCAAGGGGAAGGTATGAGCACCCCTCACGCCCGTCGTACTCGACGGGATCCGCGCTTGGTTGTCTATTCTATGGGTAAAAAATAATCTATCTACGACTGCTAAAGCTAAACGGAAAGAACTGACTCGATAGAGCATCACCGCCCTATGCCTACGTATTCCCTCGTGCAATGGGAAAGTCAGAGTCAACGTAGTTCGGGAAACTACGGGGGAGGTTGCTCGCCAAGACATCACGTCTTGTGCCTATGTATTCTCATCTAGTATGAGAAATCAGGGCAAAATGTAGTTCAGGCCAACTAAGGGTAAACACGGGTGTTCTCAATCACACGGGGGTGAGAGAAAAGGTAGACGATACTAGCGCACGCATTCTAGCAGTTAGGTGTATTGCTTCTCGACCATTGGAGACTTAGGCGTTACCTGTTTGCGGTAGAACAGGCGTAATATTTCATTGGTTTAAAAGGTACAAATAACCTAAGGGTTTAGAACAACAGGCTGGTCTCAATTGCACTGGGGCAAGAGAAAGGGGAGTTAATCGTCAGCGGGAAAGTCTCGATCGCACGAAAGCGAGAGAAAAGAGAAGTTAGTTGTTAGTGTGCTCGCCAAGACATTGCGTCTTGTGCCTACATATTCTCATCTGGTATGAGAAATCAGAGCAGCTGTAGTTCACCCAACTATAGGAAAAGGGGAACAATGCTCGCTAGGATCATCGCAATCATATGCCTACGTACTCTCAACAGATATGAGAGATCAGAGCAGCCGTAGTTCGGCCAACTACGGAACAAAGGTCTTGATTGCACATGGGCAAGAGAAGGGATCTCAATCTCCAGGATGCGAGAGAAAAGAGTCTCAATCTCCAGGATGCGAGAAAAAAGGTTCGGATCGGGACGCACACACAAAGTCCTAAGACGTAGGAGCGAATGCGTTGCATATCACTCAAAGAGTGTACACTAAACACTCTAGGCCATTGAGAGGAAGCCCCCAATCACCATTTCCCACGTATCTAGCACTACAGCTCACAACACTCGATGGTTGCATAAAAGAAATGAAATAAAGACAATGTTACCGAACGGAGTGGTTCCGTTGACCCTTGACTTTGCGTGCAAGCTCCATTCCAAACTTTCCTCTTTTAATCCTTGATGATGACGTTTCGAATCAGGATCACTGTGACGCTGAACCATCATAGTTCGACTTATAAATAGAAGTCAAGCTATAAGAGGTTGCGTATTGATTTTCGTGTCAAAGACAAGATAGATAAATGATATTGAGAATCATTCTCCAATTGAATCGTGTCACACGGCCCAAACCAGAAGAAAATCCAAAATAAAATCAGAAGAAGAAGAAAAATGAGGAGAGAAATAAGTGGTCTCGGATCCTACATTATCCATCAACAATTTGATTAATAACGAATTACAGAAGTCTCATCATCGACCTACAAAAATGAAAATGAGATGACAAGCCCAATAACAAATGGAAATTGCAATAAACTTCTAAAAAGAAAACTAAGTCCTAATAGAAATTTAAAAGAAATTGAATATAAAATTCCATACAAAATATATGCATATATTCTAAAAGAAAATACTAATTTTCTAAAAAGAGAAATAGTAAAGAAAATATTAACATATAATACAAAAGAAAATACAAAATATACATGATTGAATAATATCCAAAAAAGAAATGGAAATAAGGGGGTGCATCAATCCAGCAGGGGGGTGCAGAGTAAGAGCCACACGGTTGGGCCTTCAGCCCAACTCACAAACAGAAATAGCAAACCAAAGGGAGGGGGCGCACAATGGACATGGGGGTAAGATGTAGAAATCGAATGGGCTGAAGGCCCCCTAACCCGTTTGGATTCTCACAAAGCTTCCTCATCTTCTTCATTTGTGCCAACCATAATTCCTCTTCGTCAACATCGTCGTTTACCTCCTAACTCCGCCGCTCCTTCATCCTCACGTCTTCCTTGGCTCGACTGAACTTCAACTCCAGAAGAAGAAAATAACCACCTCTTCATGTTCTTCCCTGTCAACTTCATCTTCTTTTGTCAAATTAAAC